CGCAGAATTGTACGACGGAGCATAGGAGACTGCGCTCTTGTTGATGACCCATTGAGGCACGGCATTGTTGAAGCGTCGCCTGAAACACGGCGAGGATGGATCCTCTCAAGCGCTCAGAACCCACCTCCTAGCCAGACCAACCAGGACGTTGACTATCTTGTGAGGTGGTACATGCAATCGGCCAATTGCGTACTGCTCTTATTCGACCAGAAAGACCTTGATCGCCGTATTCGCAAGTGGATAGAGGATGGACAGGATATCTCAGATCCTGCGAGTTCCGTTTACTATCTGGTCTTTGCCATCGGTGCACAAACAGGGCCAGAGGATAAAGATGATTTGGCCGACAGCTTCTTTAACTATGCTCGGTACCTAACGGTCGAAACTCTGATTGAAGAGCCAGGTATAGTTACCATCCAAGCACTGGTACTCATCGCGATGTATCTGCTGGGTGCATCCCGTCGTAACGCAGCGTTCATGTACCTCGGCATGGGCGTCCGAGCTGCGTATGCAATTGGCCTTCATCGCCACGATATATCCTCTCTTTTCCCGTCAAACGAAGGCCGCAGCAGGGAACAGCTGTGGAAGGGCATAAGGATTCTCGACTTGTTTATGAGCGCATCCTTGGGTCGACCTCCGTCGACATCTGAGCTTCGAGATACAACAAATCCTCAAAACTATTCAGCCTGTAATGATTTGTCAATGATCTTTGAGTCGATTCTTACAGATGTATATGCCAAAAGGATGATTTCTCCGGAAATATTGGAACGCATTAGCAAACATCTTCGACGATGGACTGCGCAATGTAGTGAGGGTCTTGTTGTCGATGGCATCGAGCAGGAGGACTTGATACGTGATGGTAACGGCAATGAACAGCCTAATATCGGTTTGATACACCTCAAACTCACTGGCCACTGGACTGTCATGTTGCTCTCACTTCCATTCCTGCACAAGGCAGTCTCTCAACATGTTGAAGAAAACGAACAATCCTCACAAGGAACTGCAAAGCGCACATCATCATCAAACCAAATCCTGGTACACTCCTGTCTTGAGTCAGCAGTACGAACAGTCGATCTCCTTCAAACGTTGGTCAAAACTGGCAGTATACCAAAGCGTTTGCCGATGGTAGGGAATTCGGCGTTTGTCTCTGGTCTTGTACTCGGCGCGGCCATCTTTGGCGACTTTGACAACTCGTTCCCACTCGAAAAGAGCCTTCAAGGCGCAAGGGGGGTCCTCGAGCGTTTCAGTCGCTACGACGCGGTGGCCAAGCGCCATCTGATGATCTTGGATCATCTCCAAGGCGCATGCGGTATATATATGGACAACAGAGCTAGACTCCGAATGGAACGACAGGGGCATCTCGTCAACGGTCTGTTTGGAAGCATCCATACCATCGGCAAATCGCTTGATCGGCCGTCTCAACAACCAGGAATAAATTCCCGAATCTCATCAGCTGAGGGGGTGCAAACACAACCGCAAACACCTAGGACTGTACAAGCGCCTAACACTGAGATGTCTGATGAACAACAAGGCTTTTCGCTGGAGAGTGGAGGGCAGTCAGAAATCGATATTTCGGGTTCAGCAGATGCTTTTCTGGGTATTTCTCCAAATATGCTCTGGTTCGACTCTTTCGACACGACCATGTCCTTGTTCCCGATTGTTGACACGCACATAATGGGCGACGAGCTAACGTGAGATGAGCTGTGATGTTTATAATCAACTATGAGAATATATATTTAGCCAGCTTAACTGTGGACCTGTGGTTAACCACATTGAGCGGCGGACAAGGATTGTGTGTCGCGATTTTGTGGTACTTTTTGTAACGCAAAATCATCCAAATCATCCGAAGGGCGTGAGACCTTCGTCTGGCCCATGAATCGGAACACCACTACGGGGTATCTACATTTAGTATAAGCTAAGCATACTTGTATCAGGTAAGCTTATCTAATTGAACCGAAGGTGTCCACGATTGTATTATGCTATAACGTTATTTGTAAATCAGCGGCGGAGATATTAAAATCCGCTTCTCGCCCCTCACTTCCCTAACCTATCTTTAGATGGCATCATCCACCTCACCAATCCTTCAATATCAACACAAACGTTCATCACAAAATCCACAATTAAGATCTTCTCGGCATTGAATTCTTAAAAAAAAAAAAAAAAAAATCTCACCCCAGATCAACTACTCGTCCAACATCCGCCATGCCTTCAACTATCCGGGCAAAGCACCTGGTGCCAGGTGACAAGATAGCATTCATCTCACCCTCAGAGCGAATCAACAGTTCACTCCCTGCTGTCATAGACCGAGCTACTGCCGTTCTCACAAATAAGGGCTATAAGGTCGAAACTTTCTTTGGCGATGACAAAGGGATCCAGTCCTGCATTAGCAATCGTCTGTCAGAAATTCGCGCGGCTTTCTCAGACCCTAGCATCTCTGCCATTATCACCACCATCGGTGGCACAACCTTCACGGAGCTTCTTCCGGCTCTAATCGCCGACAAAGAGCTTCACGAGATCATTCGCGCCAATCCCAAAATAGTGGTTGGTTATTCCGATATCACGGGACTGCATTGGTTCTTGCATGCCTTGACCGGCCTGAGAACTTTCTACGGACCGGGTGCTGTTCCCGAGATTGGTGAACCGAACGACATCAACGATAAGGACACCCCATTGGCTTTTTGTGTTGATAATTTATTACGCGCCATTGCGTCTCCTGAACCACTGGGTCAGATTCCGCGATCCAACTACTACGCTCCAAGAGGCGCACCCTTCTTCACTAATCCAGAGTCCACAGAGCCACCCAAGGTCGTCAAGACGACCGAGTGGCAATGGCTGAGGCCTGGAAAGGCTCAGGGTCGTTTATTCGGCGGCTGTCTCACAGTTGCAGCGCGCTTAGTCGGCATCTCGCCTATCGTTCCCGACTGGCGAGGCCGAATCGTCTTCCTCGAGACAGCTACAAACGAGGATGGCAGCGGCGGAAACCCTCCCCACCGTGTTCAAGCGGCGTTTGCAGACTTGATAGCTCACGGGGTATTTGAAGAAGCAGCAGGACTTGTTGTGGGCCGACCCTACGGGTATGACTCCGAGGAGGATAGGGACGTTTATGCGGGTATAATCAAGGGTCTTTTCTGCGAGGGACGTCTTGCGGAGAAGAACTTCCCAATTCTGTTCAATGTGGATATTGGTCATACGGTGCCGATGGTAACTCTGCCTTATGATGCTTTGGCTGAGCTTGATTCTCAGACAGGTACTTTTGCTGTGTTGGAATCTGGGGTTGAGTAGAGCGCGTTTGAGGAGGCAATGGTAAGTCGTCAAGAATCGTAGAATAATAAGTGACTAGTTCCTTTCAACACGCTATATATTACTCTTCGTTCAAGCATTATCTACTCATACAATGCTACCTTGAAGCCAATTCTGATAGCTTCCTGTTATCCGCTTGCCAGAAATGCTCGGCAGTTGAGCCGCTATCGATATCATATGACTTCCACTCCAATCAGTGTGCCATACATTCAGGTGTTCCGAGGCGTAGGAACAATTTAATCTATCTCACCACTGCTAGCAGTGCTAGGTAGAGAATCAACATCCTGCTATCTTTCTGGTGTCCGACATACTCTTTGCCGACCATGAGCCTCATTCGCATGGCGAGTTTTCGTCATGCCTTTTGAGGCTTTCGTGTTCTAAGTTCGACTTTCTGCACAATGGCTCAGAGCTGAATTAGCTCTTGGTAGGACCTGGGAGCTGTGGTATCTCCAGATGTGGGCGTGATAGACGCGCCTTGATTTTGGTGGTGTCGTGAACTGCTGATTTATTGGACTTTCTGTGGCCTCCTTGCTGTTCCGGATTCTCCCTCTCCTCAAGTGGCCATGTCTTCGACAGCAGGCCCTGATGACGGAGGGGTACGCTGAATAGACTCAATATCCCTCTGATCGAAGGATGGCCACACCAGTGACGCAGGTCAAAATAAACATAACCGTGACAGATACGACCAATATTGATGAATATCTAACAAAATCATCATGGTCATACTTTCGCAGGTCTTTTGTCCAGTCTGGCATGAATATAGCCTTCGCCTGCACCAAGTATGTCGCAACAAATATACCAAAGACAATGAGCATAAAAATAACATGCCATATGCCGGCTAGGGTTCTTGTTAAAGCCGAGTTTCTGCGAATTCTCGTTAGAGCCGAGTGTCTGCTACTTTTTATTTTGGCCATGATTCTGTGTTTGTTGACGAAAGGAGAAAGCCTGGTAAAGCGACGCGAAAACAGCACTGGGCAGGGACATGAGACATTGCATTCGTGGGCGGTAGGCTATTCGGCTTTGTTGGCGAACAGCCACCTTATTTACGGTAGAACACGTCAGGAGATTCGGGGAGTTTTAAACTACCGAGCGCACCACAAGTGAGTGATTTGGTGCGACGGTGTGAGCCTGTGTAAGCGCTAGATCTGCAAGACGCATCAAAGCCAAGCTTTGACGGCCTTGATTTACTTACCAACGGGCCAACATGCATTTGTTTGCATGCTGGCGAGGCTATGTTCGACAAATGGGACTTGACTTGGCCTCAATACCTGGGGGTTGAAACAGTGTTTGACAGGGATGGGGAGGGTATCACAGGACACGAGTTTATGTTTGTCCAATAGTGTGTGAGCCTGATCCGACGATTCCGAAACAGCTGACAACAAAATGTGCAATCCTTCAAAAGCAAAGTGCTACGTTTGTGGGCGCCAAGAACTCGCGGTCGTTTCCTATCAAGAGAGAGTTTTATTTACAAACACTACAGGTCATTTATGAGAGCAAAGATTTTAACCTAGAACGTAAAAGATAACACTTGATTGAGAAGAGCGATTGCGCATCAATAGACTATTTATAAACCATCCTCACCAAACGAAGTGCTTAAGTCAATCACTCAGCTGCAACGAACATTCGCGGCCTTTGTTAGCAATGTGACGACAAAGTATTATATATTGAATCAAAAATGTTGTGATTACATCAGCTCAAGCGAAAGCAGCTTGGCGCAGTGGAAGCGCGGTATGTTACAACGTCATGGTTCAAACATGATCTAGTACTAACTCATTCTAGCCGGGCTCATAACCCGGAGGTCACTGGATCGAAACCAGTAGCTGCTATGTTACAATCTTTTTTTGCCTGTGTTAACGATGGCTTGATGTCAAAATATCACCGACTTTCTTTTTATTTCTGTGTTTTTTTATGTGGTTTGTGTGGTTTTGGGGCTTCTGAAGTATTTGTGTCTCTGTTCGGGACTGCGATAAGCATACATATACTGGCACAGAGATATATTGATCATATGCTTAAACAATTGTACGTCTTCCCGTTACAGCCCTCTTTCACTGCTTTAGAATCAATACTGTGGTTGTATAAAAATGCGGGTGGCCCTTGTCTTGGAGCAACTATAACATATATATATATATACATATACTTCTTCAGTTCCAGTAGAAAGGGTAGCACCTCTAGTATATCAACCCAAGTTGTTTCACCTCATTAGGTCGTCTTATGATACTGCTTCCATTAAATACCATATCTAATACATTGCCGCTCCCGTAATCAAGACTCCTCACCAACCATAAACCGCGCACCCGCCTTCGTGATACTCTCAACAACCTCAAGCTCCTCCTCATTCCTCGGCGCATATACCATGACATTCCCCAGATACAAAATCGTGCCGGCCAAAGGATGGCGCTGACCCCAGCCCCTCTCCAGAACAAGCTTCGCATCCTTGGGCGCTAGATTAACATGGATTGAGCCGTCGCTTGCGTGCATATGCCCGATCTCTCCCTTTGTGCGCTTGGCGATGGGGTGAAGTTCCCCTTCCGAGGTTGCAAAAAGTGCTGGGCCTCGTCGCTCGGCGATGGATGTGGCGATCTTGAGCTTGGAGGGGGATTCTGAAGCGAGAGACCTGAGGAATTCTTGATAACGCTGTAATCGTTGAGTAAGTAGTTGAAGAGATACAGTCTAGGGCTGATGCATGATACATAATACATACCTCAATGATAGACTTATCTGCGAGATCCGACACCTGACGACTCGGAACCGCCCAACTCCCAAGAACAGGTCTCGGCGCTTGACGAACAGGAACATCCTTCTCACTCAAAAAGGCAACATGCCCATTCGGACCGGCCTTTTCAAACGCCGTCTCGTCGTAGCAACTCGTCCCGAAAGGCTCTTTGCGAAGCGGCTTCAGGAGCATCTGTCCGAGCCATCCGACGACGTTGTGGGGTAGACCGCCGGGCCCGAGAGCTAGATAGCCATGGTAGTCCCGGGCCGCGATGCGGAAGACGGGGATTCCGAGTGCGACGCCGAGAACGGCCGCAATGGCGACGCGTTGGTTCTGTGGGGTTAAGTCGTGGAGGAATTGGGTGAGGGAGGTGAGTTGAGATGTCATTTTTGCGAGTGTTCAATCTTGCTTATGGACGGTTATAAAATGAGATTTCAGGAAGAATGATAGGATACGTGGTCTGTTTTGATGTCAGCAGGCTTCCATCATTTAAATAAATACACCATGCATGTGGAACCAACACATTTCACTGATCAAATTTAGTGAACTTTGATCTATATATTAAAAGAAACACCGGGCTCTGTGCTGTATTTTACAATCCGAATTCCGTTAAGGATATGCCGTGCAATCAACCGTACTATTCGGCCTGTTGGTTGTGAGGCCTTGCTTAGCATAACTCGTATGATCTGTCTCTTATAGGAAGCGATTTCACCCGCATCAGTTGCAGTTCTGCGAGTACTTGGTCGAAAATGACGTGACTTGTATGCAAAGCGATAATTGCTGTTGCAGTGTAGATTTCGTGGTGATTTGGAGTAACGGTATTCTGCTGATCCCATTTCTCAATGCTGTTATAGACGTTGTTTTATATCCTTCAGATCAAAGCATAAACTCAACGTACTCAATTGGCTATATTAAACGCACGTGGACGCGTTGTCTGTTTCTTCCATTCGTTTATACCACGATTTGATGCAAGTACTATATCTAGATTATATCACGGTCAGCCCAGTCAACGCGATAATACTAGCAATCATGTCTTTGTACAGTCAAAGCATCTTCATACACTTCTAATCACACAGTTTTCTCTGACATTTTGCTTTCGTTACTTGTTCGCTACGTGATTCAATAGATAGGCATTGAGATTGTAGCGTGTATATATATGTCTTATCTACTATACAGCTGCCATCTACACAGCACTGGATCATTGCACCTCTTTTAATAACAATTTTAGGATGTTAAACTCGGATATACTGTCAGGTCTGTGCCTTGTGCTGAGATATCAGATAACTGCGCAGGTTACGTTGAGTGTTCCACATGGGCCAGCCCAATCCCCAGACACGACTAATTTTACTCAGATTTACTGCCATAACTGAGATGTTATGGTTGCACAGAACGCATTGTAGGTCGGCGGCACTATGCACAAGCACAAGCACAATTTCGTGAAACCCCTGAACACATGTATCTAGTCGACCTCAACAGCAGCCTTTATACAAACAACATGGCGAAACAATACACTATACGTCTTACAAAGGCCTAAAGCTCATCATTCAACGCTGTATTAATTAATGTATTAGGTGCCTGGGAGGAAGGCTTCCCTTAACAGCGGCTTGCATCAGGAGTCACATCGTCGACCATAACTCTCTTGTAGTTGATCAACTAGTCTTAATTGTACGGCTTACGTGGACATTAGTTCCTAGTGGAGTGATCAAATACTCTGACTCTATCGGTTTGTTCGACAAGTATGTTGAATCAGTTGAGTTGTTGAATGAAGAGAGCATCGGTCACCCCCAGGAGATTTGGCTTGTACGCTACGATCACCGAATACTCAACTAAAAGACTTTTAATCTACCCAAACATCTCTTGTTCAATCCCAATATCGACCTGTTACGATTCAGTTGTCTGGGTGTCTGCAACCCATATCGCCTGTAGTTCTCCATTCAGGGGTATCACTGTAACTGCGCGTTCCTTCTCCTAGACTCGAGTCATCACCCAATTCTGCATATGCATATTCATGCAGCATAGTAGCCAGAGTTAGACTCATCTAAGTTGTCTGCATCATGTGAGTCGATGTGACGTTAGAGTTCGGGCGTCCAGTTGTACGTTGCACAAAAAATGACGAGTGTGCATGTTAACATAGAAGCCCAGCAACACAGACGCAGATTTCAACGACAAAGCGAACTTCTTCTTAAATCATAATATACCATTTCCCAGCTCGTGAAAACGAGGTTTGTAGTAGTTTCTCTCCATGTAATGCTTCTATTTTTCCTCTCGTCGTGATTCAGTTGGTATCAGGGGTGGCATAGCCACGTTCACTCGTGGACCAACCATAAACATCTGGAAATACTTCGTCCTTGAATATATCCAGCTCTATATAACTCTTTCTTGGGGTTAGGAGGATAATTCTGAGAAAGGTCTTCGAGCTGATACTTGATACAGTGATACTATTGACATGATCTTGTTTACACACCCTATATCCGGGTTTGTGTATCACAACTCTCAATATGTTCTATCAGGTACATTAACAAATATGGTTGTCAATTACCACATCACACATTTATATACAAACTGCCTGCGGAGTTTGGCCTGCTCATACTTGGTTTCCTTCCCTTCGTCTTTTACTTGTCTTTTGCTTCTATCTTCATTTCTCCGCAAGTAGGCAGCATCGACTTACACGAGAAGAAACAACAAGACTCAACGCAATGCAAGTGCATAGGCTTTTACAAACTATTCAGACATAAACTAAAAAGATAATAAGTAAAAATATTGCTGATACTCGCTGATTATTATTCGTATAATGCAGAATTCGTCCGCAAGGTATTTGACATATCTCGACACCCTATATTAAACATTCACTACAAGTCACCTAACCTATAGCTGTCAATTTCAACACGATGCCACACCTGCCAGGCTCTGGCATAAGCTTATTTGCTGGCATTGTTACATTATCAATATGGCTTGTAGGTCTTCTACTGTGAGACTGGGAATGACCTTGCCATTGCCGCATTAGTATCTGCCATGTCTAAGGTCTTGTCATCCACAATGACACGCCCCCCTTATCCCAGTCACCGGTGTAAGAAATCTGACTGGGGCAGTCCCGAATGGAAGGCCGGATTTACCCCCTGCCTAACCTGACATTTGTGCTTGTTGGTGACTGATAGTGTCTCGCCACATCTTGTCGACGATTTGGGATACCTGTTCGCAGGTCTCATACCATACCGTGGCCCATACAATAAAGCGAACAACAGTGGTTACCGGTTTGGTTTCAATAAGATGGGTAATCGCGGGCTGTGTAGTAACGCTCTCCATGGGCTAGAATCCAGGGCGTCGGAATCACAGCAACAATGGGTTTGGTGTCAGAAGTGCCGGTGGAGCTGAGTCGTATACTGTCGAACCACCGCTAATGGTTGGTTGACGATGGAGGCATGTTTCCCCTCAAAGGGTTATTGTGCCATCATTGCTTGCGGTAAAGGTTTCCCGTATATGTGGAAGATAAGCAACCAACAGGAGGCGACACAAGCAATTGACATCAGTGTCAATACGCCAAGCAAAGTCAGGGGCCATGTCGTGCTGGACCAGTATCAAGTGTTGGGCAGGCAGTCTCCGTTTAACGCCCACTTTGAGAGCGGCACAGACTAGGCATTACGTTGAGAACTAATAACTCACTTGACTCAAGCTTCATTTCTTAAAGCTACCCTGAGAGACGATGTCAAACAAGTAATATTCAAAGTGAACTTTTCATCTTGGAAATCATTACCCGCACAGGCCGGACTTTCACGAAATGCCGAGCGCGGTTATAGAAACACACTAGGTTATTTTAGGTATTGGGTCCGGCACCTCAATATCTTGACAGTTTTTATAGCGCGCCGGTAGCTGTTATAGCAGAGTCAGTTTCAATTAGAATGTCTCGCACGCCTGCGCCACAGATCTCTCTAGCGCTGGTCCTGGAGCAGTGCCTGGCATGGGCCTGGCCTAGATCCTCAGGTATAGTCCGTAGTTCCGTAGTCTCGGCCGCCCAACCCCAGAAGTCGCGAAACCTTGTTGCTCGCCTATTGCCTGGGCATAGCGGAATATAAGCCGGGCCAGCCGCGAAACGTCGAGAAGGAAGTGGTGATCGTC